CCAAAGGTTATGCTCATGAATTAAAGGCTCTGCTCATGGATCAAAGACCCACTCATGGACCAAAGGCTCTACTCATTAATTAAAGGCTGTGCTCATTAACCAAAAGCACACTTCTGGACCAAAGGTTCTGCTCATGAATTAAAGGCTCTGCTCATGGACCATAGACCCACTCATGGACCAAAGGCCCTGCTCATGGGCCAAAGGGCTTGCTCATGAAGTGTATAGCAATTCAGATGAAAAACCTGTCTTGCCTGTTTTCTATTTCTGGCTTACTCAATGGTTTACTTCATCGAGTACTTAAACAATGAATGCAAATTTCAAAACAAGGCAATTTACATTCAATTTTCCTTATACAGACTCATGACGTAAAATGCAGCAGAACCTGTCTTGAAAGATCATCCCTTTAGCCCAAAAATATTGATCTCTCAAGAAAGGTGGTCTCTGATAACAGGTCATAACATTATATAATCAATAAATCTGTGCATGGAGATTCTGTTCTCAGAAAAGAGGCAGTCTCTCATAACAGTGGTGTCACAAGACAGGTTTTACTGTACATGTTCAGTAGTCAAAAAATAAATTATACTTCAAGCAATACAGAAACACAGGTTTTATGTATAAAAGATATAATACAAGACATATGTTGTTCTTGCATGTTCATCTGCTCCTGCTTTGAGATGCACTCATATCATCCACTATATGTCTGATGCTTCACCATAGGTTTTACCCATTTTATGATGTGTCTTCCTGTTATGAGTATTTTGAGTTTTCTAGCTCATTATTAATTTAAAAAGTCATTGAAACTGTAGTAGTAAATATGAGCTATAAACACACCTCTTGCAAGTTTACTAAATAAGAGATTAAATTACAGATCAGTGTCTTAAATGATCCCTCTTCAATTCATTTTTTCTGTTGGTTATTTTTGTACCAACCTTGGTAGCACTGAAGACATATATATATATATATCTTTCTGCATGTGTGTGTGTGTGAGGCATGAAACAGGATCATCAATGTGAATTCACACCAGCAGACTGGGGACACACCTCAAAACGGGGACATCCTTGTTTTGTTGTTATTGTTGGGCTTAACGCCATTTTTCAGCACACAATTATAGGCTATTCATGGCGGCCAGTATTAATGATGGAGGAAGAAACCGGGAAATCTCCAGAAAGAACCACCGACCCACAAGAAGCTACTGGCAAGCTTTCTCACATATCCACATTCGCCGAATCCTAGACTAGAACCCACACAGACAGAGGTGAGATGGCAGTGATCCGTAATGAACATCGCTTTAAACCACTCAGCCACTCGGGGCCCCTCCTTGTTTTGTAATGTCAGCTTAAATGGAATTCCAAGGCCTTAGTTAATGATACAAACCTTAAAATAAGCATATCTGACCATGTCTCCATTTTGTTGGTACTTTTTGGATCATGCTATACATAATAATACACGTCCCATTCGACTGAAAACCTAATTTGTATCAGTAGGAAAACTGCATCCCTGTTGTTGTTGTTGTTGTTGAGCTTAACGCCATTTTTCAGCACACGATAGGCTATTCATGGCGGCCAGTATTAATGGTGGAGGAAGAAACCGGGAAATCACCGGAAAGAACCACCGACCCACGAGAAGCTACTGGCAAGCTTTCTCACATATCCACATTCGCCGAATCCTAGACTCGAACCCACCCCTGTTTATGTGGTAAAAATTTACTGTTTTGCTGTCAGCTTGCGCACTTTGCTTCCAAATTACTCAAAAGATTGCATCAAGAGTGAACAGGATTTAAATCATTTAGATAAATATATACAATATATTTTCTTTTTCATGTTTATTATTGGGTAATTCAACGTTCATAACACATTTCTCCAAATAAGATCAGGAACACAAGAATCTAGCAATTCATCTGTCCTTGTTTACTTTATCTCCTATTTAACTCTGAACCATGCACATTTGGATAAGAAATACACTGGAAAATATCAACATAGCTTTTAGTTCATCTAAACAAGGTTAGAAGCATAATAGTAAACAGTCTACATTGTAACCAAAACATAATGCAATTTCTTTCCTTCAATTAACCACATTATATCTTAATCCAACAAGTTAAGTTTGATCCAACAGGAAATAAAAAGAAGTTTTGTTAGTACTTGTACATGGCACCAGTCACGAAGCTGAAAATATAAGTTTTTGTATTCATATGTATTGTTTTTCTGTATGTCTTAAATGTGAATACTGGCTGAAGAATAAATAGTGTGAAACAAAAAGATCAAATAAATTTTGTTTTGACTCGGGTAAATCATAAAATATTTCTTATTCTTTCCTCGTTTAGCCATTACATTTGTATATTTTCTGTCTTTCTCATTTGGCTCTGTTACTTCTATCTTTCTTTCTAAATCTTCCTAGCTTGATTTCTTTCTGGCTGTAAGTCCTTTGCTTTTCCCTATTTCTAAGGACCCAATGTTAACAGTTAACTTTTCTCTGACCAATCACTGACCACAAATATGCAACTTTAACTGCACAACTGGCTTCTTCACTAAGCAAAAGGCAGAACATTAATACTGTTACATGCAAGGGGTCTCCTTAGTGAACAAAGGAAAGAAACTATAGTAATATTCCTCTAATTAGTGCATGACTACCAATATCAGAACTACACAAATACATCATAAATTCACAATTGTCTGCCTACCTCACAACTGCATGGTTTTTCCTTATTACATTTCTGTAATGTAGTGTCGGTACTTAACTACCATAAAATACAACTCTAACACCAGATACCAGAAATTATTTTTCCTACACTACCATAATAACTCTACACCAATATTTACCATCATAGCAAGAAGAAAAGGAGTCAAAATTGGACAGTCCCTTCTCAATCATTCCATTGTACAATTTACCAGTCTCTATCATGAATACTGCACATGGAGTCACACAATCAATCCACACAATTAGATTTTAATAGGGACTATTAGTCTTCAGGGACACTTATGCAGCTCTGATGTGTTTCATATTGAAGATCTTATTATGCATTGGCTTATTAATGAAGAGGATTGCACTATATGTGGCCAATTGTTGTGCATGAATTTTAAGTTATAAATGTGTTATTTTGTGGGACATATTAAATTTTAAACTGTATTCTTGCCAATAAAATTATTTTAACTGAAGATTGGCTTGCAGATCTTTGCTGATTTCATTTTAGAAAAAGGTACACATTCTCTGTATTTTCACACAATTCTTCATACTCCTTAACATACCTTTTTACTTATATATACAACAAATAAATATAAAAATTCAACATGATAATTTAAAGTTAGTTTGTTAATAAGGATGGGAACTATGTGCATGATGTGAGATTACTGCGGTATTTAAATTGAATTGATCCTTATTTAGAATCAAAATACATACCTATTGAATATATTTTTGATTTGATTCAATAATTTATAATACTGTGTATACTTATGTGTCCCTGTTCTCATGGTAAGATTCTGATGGCAGTATTTCTTGGAAATCAACCACAAATAAATTACAAATGACATGTATATATCAAATGCATAGCTAAATATATCTTTATCGCCAATAATTTATGAAAATAAAAATGTCCCCATTTCGATGATTAAAATCATATGTTCATATTTTGTATGTTTCAAATGCATGTGTGGGTGTGCATGCAAGTCTGGAAATTATGTTTGCATATGTGTGTCTGTGAATAGCGATATCTGAGTAGGAAGGAAAAAGAAGAGATGTGACTAAACAAAATATACAGAAAAGTAACTTTTTTTCAACGATTACAGTATCTGGGGTATGAATTGGATTGCGGTAACATATGTGCTTAGCAGCACTATTTTTAAACTGATAATATCATATGAAAAGTGCATGTATGCAGCTGTGTCTAGTTTGGTGTTTTTCTCAATGCAATTCAGTTACATGCATCATCAATATATAGATCAATAGTTATCAAACGGCACATGTAACCCACGTCTAGGTATTCTGCATATGGCTAATGTATCAACTGCAGTGAGTTTTTGGCCCACAAATGCATGGTGACACATGAATTAAGAACCTATGGTATAGATAATTCAGTGCCCAAACATCTATTCCAGTGAGTACTGCATTGTCATTCAATACCATTTTTTCATTCCAAAGAGTACTGTATTGTCCGTCATTCCAATGAGTACCATATTGTCAGTCATTCTATGCCATTCTGTCATTCCAGTGAGTCCTGTATTTCCATCTGTTATCCCATGCCAACATCTAAAAAAAAAGTTCTATAAATTTACTGTCCAATCAGCATAAACAAAATTTTTAGAACATTAACTTTAAAAATGGTACCTGTACAAAAGATGTTTATAGAACAGTGCTAAGGGACTATGTTACATCTGGTATCTTTTAAAGAGAAGATACCCTTTAAGTTTCATGCTAAAGAAATATTTTACAATCTGTTATCCATTTGTTATATGCTAATTTAACTGAAACTGAATCTAATCTCATTATTTAAACCAAGTCCAATCCCATTATTTAAATTGAGTCAAACATCATTATTCAAACTGAATCCAGTGTCAATATTCAAACTAAGTCCAGTGTCAATTTTGAATCCATCATAATTCTAACCAAGTTTAATGTCATTATTCAAACCAAGTCCAATATCATTATTCAAACTGAGTGCAATCTCACTATTCAAACAGTCCATTGTCATTTTTCAAACAGAGTCCAATGTCAATATTCAAACTGAGTCATAAGTCAATATTCAAACCGAGTCCAGTCTCATTATTCACTAGTATCAGGTACTCTTTATTATTCTTAAATTATCAAAATTGTTAATAGTTTAAAAAGTTTTTTTTCCATTATCACCATAACTATCACCACAGTCCTTACAAAAGTATCTTGTTTATTATTGTTGCCACCACCACCACCACCACTATCATTTTTTCTTCTCACCATCAATAGTAACCATCAAAGTTTATTATTATTATTTTTATCATTATAATTGTAAGACAAAGATTATTGACCACTCTGGTGGTCTAGTGGTTAGAGCATCCACCTTGAATGTGGGAGGTCACAGGTTCAAACCTGCTCTGATATCAAGTTATACCAAAGACTTATCAATATGGTACTAACAGCTGCCATGATGGTGTTCAGCATTAAGAGGTTAGTGTTAGGACTCTGTAAGCCTTGTGTCAGAATAATGTGACAGGGTGGGACACAATGCTACATCTCTGCTGCAGGATGCCCCAATGCTATACATCACTACAAAATGCCATACTGCAGACATTAGAGTGATATGACTACAAAATGGTTAAAGATATGTTAAAAATCTAAATCACACACACACACACTGAAACAAGGATTGTTGTTTGTGGTGGTTGACAGATTATTATACTGCAGACATTATAGTGATATGACTACAAAATGGTTAAAGATATGTTAAAAATCTAAATCACACACACACACAGAAACAAGGATTGTCGTTTGTGGTGGTTGACAGATTATATGTTAAAAATCTAAATCACACACACACCCACACAGAAACAAGGATTGTTGTTTGTGGTGGTTGACAGATTATTATACTGCAGACATTATAGTGATATGACTACAAAATGGTTAAAGATATGTTAAAAATCTAAATCACACACACACACACAGAAACAAGGATTGTTGTTTGTGGTGGTTGACAGATTATTATAGCATGTTTAGTGCCTTTTTTTTGAGAAAATGGAAATACAGATCATGGACTCCCATTTATGGTGGCTGCCATATTTTATACCATGGTAAAAAGTCATTAGCATAATTATTTTTTGTTGCCAGACTGAGCATCAAAGAAGCTGCCACCATATTCTGTACTAACATTGTGGTGGCATGGAAACATTAAGATTCACCTGATAAATCAGTGGGTCCACCACAATAAATGATAAATCCCACAATGTTTTTTCCCAAGGTTGGCAAGAGTGCATTACGAGCATAACAAGAACAATACTCAGATAGCTGGTTTTTCAAAAGAACACCTTTATGTCTTTCAGGACTCAGATCTTGCCAGCCTCTTTGATCTCTTTTGACTGCAGCAGTAGATAGGAGGGATGTTCACCCTAGTCTATTAACTTTTTGCTTAGACTTGGCTTGCTGACGTGATGATGGGCAACTGGCAATTCCCTAAGTTTTCTTTTAAAAAAATTCTATAGAAATTTAAAGCTGACTTCCGTAGTGGAGGCTGAGGTTTTCTGTGATGGAGTTGTTATGTCAGGCATTGTTTGTATGCCTGCTTAGAACATCCCCAACAGCATGGACGATTCTGTGCCATTAGCCATGTGGGTAGCAAGGCATTTACTCTGTGCATATAATATGAATAAATGGTCCATGGGTTAAGTTGATTGCTGAGAAGCACAGCTTATCTTGCCAGTAAAAAGAACTGAAATCATGCTAGATGGTCTGCTGAGCAACCAGATGGATGGTTGGGCTTGATGCAGTCAAAGGGACACTCAATAAATCCCAGTATGACTCTACATACCACTGAAACAGCCAGCCTGTACATAGCATGTGACAAACCTTTGGTCATCAGTCAAAGGCTATGACTGGTCAGCCAGTCTGATTGGCTGGTGGACAGCTTAAGAGGTGGTGTACAGTAAGGAAAGATGGAAGTACAAATAATCAAAGTCCTAGAAATATCCCATTCACTCCGACTTAATAGACTGAAAGGCCATGTTCAGGTCAGTGGAGTTATTCATGTCCACTGGGTTGTCAAAATAAGGGAGAAAACACCAATTAACTCTAAGTTACTATTGGGAATTTGCAACAGACTATAAAAGATATAAATTCTTCCAAGGCCAGCAACAGCATCATCGCATCTTGCACCAGTTTTCACTACTTTGAATCCAGTAGTATTTTACAATGAGGCTGGGCTAGCATCTCTGAGAGCCCCTTGTTCTTCCCTTTGGATCTGGCCAAATATACCCACAACAGTTTCAGCAGACAGTTCATTTTGGAAGGGGCATCATGCCATGTAAAACTACACTTGCAATTTATGACATATTTGGGTGAACACTCAAGATGTCATATTTTTTTGATCAAAGACTTTGCCAGTCTCTCATTGGTCTACATGCTTTTTCACAAAACCATAGATCTTCCTAAAACATGTGTGGGGCTCCTATGGCTTTAAGTTTTTTGTGCTTGGTACATTTAACCATTTTCCAAATGAAATGGCATGAACAAAAATATAGTAAATAACCTGAGAACAATAATAAGTCTTACTAATTAAATAAGCAAACAATGCATGAACCAACAATGAACACCAACAATACTGTATTGGATCACAACATCAGAATAACTCAAGTCCACAATTCTAAACAAAAACATTCAAGACAAGACAAAAGTAATGATTGCAACACATATCAAATTTATAACTAGAGGATACTTACATACTTTTTGAATGGAAGGGTTGAAACAAAGATATCTTTGGATTTCAAGAGGCCAGTGATGCAATGTTGATCACAATCAGAGTCAAAGATAAAATTGATCGATGGGTAACCACTTTGCAACTTGATGGGGGAAATTTTTGGTAAAAATTTCTTCGCTTGGTCTATATGGTATTGAGACAGGAAAAAGGATTGATGTAATTGCTAATTTCAAGAACTAGTTGAGTTTTTTATCTAATGTTAATGTCATCCGGGAATGTATTCAATGGAAAAATATTTTTTTGTCAGTACTTAAATTCATACATTGTGGATGACCATGTATTGTATTCACAGAAGGCTTACATTTTGTTGTCTTTTTTCATTATTTTATGTTACTAAGGAATCCATAAAAATTGGTACCCCACTAAAAATATTAAATTTACAACAATTGACATATCTAGTTGATTTCAAAATTTTATACAAGTGTTTTCCAACTAATCACTAAAATAAGCAACAAAGACAAAGAACACTCACTACATTCTGTGATAGCAGAGTGGGGTCTACAAAGCTTGTTCGGACTATCTGTAGAACACATGCATAGACCGAGAACTGTCAGCACATTAAGTGACAGCATATTGAGGCCTATTCAGTTTCTCTGAGACCAATCAGGAGACCAAACAACATCAACCAATACTGTCGACATTTTTATGCAACAGCTGATTGGGATCTATGCTGTTTGCAGTAAATCCATCTTGTATGCAAATATACATGGTAATAATTGATACCAAGGATATTTCAATTATCTGGATAGCAACAAATTTTGGAAAAATGACCAACAAATATATTAAATTTAATTGTTTTATTCTTTGAGGCAGATGACAACACATTTCTTAAAATATATAATAACAGCCTTTATCAAATAGTCAGTACACTTTACCTAGTGTGCAGTTTCATATTTTTGATACCATACAGTAAACATATCACTTTATGTGATTCTGATTGGTCTAAATAAGTCCATGAAATTATTGTGAAGTATTCCCTTTACTGATTGGCTGCGATTAAGGGAAAACTTTTTTAACCTTCTTTAATTTTTTAATTATAAGCTTATAATGCCCACTTACATACTTGTCTCAGTATCATTAAAATTTCATTCTTCCAGATTCCACAAGCTGATTTACATTCAATCAGCTCTGAATACATACGCATTAAAAATACTCATGCTACACCCCAGCAAAATGTATTTCTGACTCAGCCCTACATGATGCTTAATAACCTGATGCGAAAGCTGAAATGATATAGCTATGAATGTCATATAAGATAATCTTGCATGCCACTATCATTGAATATCAAAGCTGAGGTAGTCTAGCAACAATTTGGGCAACTGTAGATCTTTGATATTCCGTAATCTTGATGGACCAAAACTTTGTCTTATCTTCAGACGGCAAATACTCCTCAAACATCTGGGTGTGCCTGAATAAAAAAACAAAACAAATAGAAAGATAGCTAATAAAGATACTGAAAACATAAAAATAATGTAAATTCAAATAACTGAATAATAAAAGTGCAACTGCACTGGCTGGTACAAGTTTTACAAAAGGTTGTTTTAAAATGGTTGGGGTTGGTTGAACCATTTCCCTCATAGAGTGTATGGCTTTTGAGCCCTTCGATATGCATGTAGCAAAGTTATCCATCCAGTGCAGTCCACTACGCATTGGCCTATTAAGCAGTGAAGTGTATGTTACATTTAACAGCATTTTAAACCATTTTACATTTTTGGTACACATATATTATGTATGGAGAGACTTAAGAGTAAAATACAGTCGTTATAACTGTATAATTATTTTTAACAAAAGAATTTTGTATGTGCTTTAATATCTTGAGAGAACTCGTTCACTATCAAGCCAGTGAAGCTGCATGATCAACCATAGCGGCATTTTCTTGTACTCAACATTTACAAGTTCTTGGCATCTACATCACTAAGTCAGCTGAATTTGATAATTTATAAAACTAATGGCTTCTTACATCAGTCTCAGAGCCTTCACCTAAGTTATTGAAGCTTCATAGTTGTGATTCTACTCAAGCAAGCACTGAACGTTATCAGAGACTACCATTTTGTCGAATGGAGAATATGAGACATGTATGACCTAAGTACTTTAAACAGCAGATTTCAACCAGAGCATCAACAGTGACCACGTGATCTGACATAATGATCATTCTCGCCAATGAATGTAGTATCTAATAGGGGGTTTTCCATGAAAGTGGTGCTACCAAACCCGATAAAATTGGCTGCTGTTTTATGGATTGCTAAAAGGCACTTATATGGGTATCAGGTAAAGTGCCAAAAGACTCCTATATGGGACGTCAGCAGAGAGCCAAAAGGCGCTTGTATGAGGTAAAGGCCATTTAGATAGTACTATATACATCCCATGCAGGAAATAGGAGATTAGCACCTTTTCCATGGACATGCAAAGTTTGGCAACCAATGAGCAACGTAGTTCCATTTCATAATGGAGTATACACAAAAATAGGGTTACATTCGTGCTCAGAAAAGACACCGTCATTTGCTCAAATCATACAGTGAAAGCATTGTAGTAATGAAAAATTAAGCCAACTTAATGGAATCCATCCATGTCACTACCCATGTTATATGAAGGGTCACATGGTACTTTTTTTGTGAGGAACCACTGAAGCTTACACTC